ACCAGCTGCGCGCCTGGCTGGCGGCCAACCCCGCGCCGGCGGCCGCGCCAGAGGAGTGAGCAGGGGCCTGCGGGCCTCCCTGCGCCCCCTCCCAGCCTTCCTTCCAGTGCCTCCTCGACTCTGTTTGCGGCCCTCTTTCATCGCTTCTTTCATTGTTTTGCCTTTCAATTTTGCTCCACTGTAACTCGCTCATCACTGTTCCGTGCCCCTGGGTTCAACGCTAGCAGCGGGATGAGGGGCGCCGCACCCCAGCACTCCCGGGCCTGCCGACTCCCGCTGCCACAGCCCGCTTGGTGCTCCCCGCCCTCACATCACAGGCCCTGCTGCTGCCCAGGCTGCGCTGCACTGCTATGCGGTCCTCCTGACCCTGCTGGCCCAGCTCGCCGCCCTGCTGCCTGCCCGCGAGCTGCCCGTCCATGGCAGCCAGAGGCGGGGAGGCGGGCGGGCACCCACGCGCCACCCCCGCCTCCTGCCCTGCCCGCTGCCGCCGCAGGCTGTCCAGGCGGCGCAGGTGGGCCGGGGAGAGCCTGGCTGAGGGTGAGCGCTTGAAGTCAGGCCTGGCCGCAGCAGCGGGAGGCGGGCCCCGCAGTGTCACATACTCCAGGCTGCTGCTGCTGCTCTCCGCCGACAGGCTGGGCGGGCCGTCGGTGCCCTCGCCGCACGCCTCTGCCTCCCCTTGCGCAGCTGGCGCTGGCAAGGCTCCACCCTCCACTTCAGTTGGCCCCGCCAGCAGCGCGGCGCCATTGCTACCAGGGGGCAGCCCCAGCTCTGCATCGCCCGCCGCGCCCCCAGCCGTTGCAGGGGGCTGGATGTCAGCAGCTGTGGCAGTTGCACCAGGAGTCAGGACTTCCGCCGCGAAGCAGGTCTCCTCAGCGCAGCCCAGCGGTACCGCCTGTGCCTGTCCCTGTGCCACACAAGCGCCGATGCTGTCGTGACCAGCGCTGATGCAGCGAAGCGGCTCCTCAGCGCTTGCTGGCCGGCTGCCGTCCCGGTCGCTGGCACCGCCGCAGGCAATCGTGCTACCCCCGGCTTCCTCCATCCCAGGCGTGCGCTGGCCCTGGCCCTCGCCCTGCCGCGGGTCGCCGCTGCCACTGGCCGTGCCGCCCACAGTGCCGCCCGCGGCGCCGGGCCTCGCAAAGTCGAAGATGGAGTCCCACACTCGGTCCAGCCTGAGCAGTGCCTGGGGCAGCGCCGCCGCTCGCAGGCGCCCACAGGGCTGCCGCTCCACCAGGCCCCAGCCGCACAGTGCAGGTATCGCGTTCTCCGCGGTGAAGTCCAGCCTCAGGGCAAAACGGCTGCGCAGGAGGCGCTCGCACCGGGTGTCCAGGTCGTCATCTGCAGCACGGGCAAGGGCAAGGGCAGGCAAGGCGGCAGCTGGGCGGTTGTTGGCCGGCGGCGGGATGGCGGGGGTGGTGGCGGCATGTCCTGTGGTGTGGGCCCACCCCACCTCGCAGGTCCTTGCCGGCGTGCAGCAGGCAGCAGTAGCAGAGGAAGCACTCGCGGATGTGCTGCCTGCAGGGCAGCAATCGCAGCCGGGGAAGGATCAGGGGTCCTGGTGATCAACACAGCTGCGCTGGTGATGCGGCACACATGCCTGCCAACCTGCTCCCACCAGCCCCGCCCTCCAGCCGCCCCCCCGCCCCTGCCAGGCACCTGCACATCTCGTCTGTCAGAGTGTGCAGCACCGCCTCCTGGCTGGCCACCGTGCGGTTGGCCAGCAGCCTGTGCATCTCCCGCTCAATCTCGCTGCGCTCGCTGGCGGCCTGCAGGTAGGCTGAGCTGGCGCGGGAGGCCAGCAGGCCCAGCGCCGACGCCCACACCTTCCAGTCCAGCTGCGCCTGCAAGAAGGTGGCCAGCAGGCCCACCAGCGCCACCACCGCCGCCACCACCAGCTGCACAAAGACGCTGGGGGGCACAAACACCTGCGGCACGGGCGGTGAGCACGCAGGGCAGCATGCATGCATGGTCAGTTCCCGTTGACCTCTTTGGGGGGATACTGGGCAGAAAGCTGCTGTCCAGCACGCCCCCAGCGGGCTCCAGGCACGGGCGCCTACCTTCTTCTCCGGCATCACCATCTCCTGCGCAGCACCAGCCGGGCGCAGCAGCAGGCGGCAGTGTGTACCTCGCAAGCTGGGGTCCGACACAGGAATGCATCAACACATGACCCAGCAGGCCGGCAGGCACGCAGGCGGCGTCATCCCACTTGCCAGGTCTGCCAGCGGGATGCCGGTGAACTGCTTGATGTGTATGTTCCTGGCCGCCACCGCGGGGTCCGCCTCCTGGTGCAGCACCTCCTTCTCCCCCTCCCCCCCCGCCTCCTTGGCCACCTTGCGCCTGAACAGCACCACCACGTCGCGGAAGCAGGCCTCCTGCGCAGCAAGGATAGGCCTGGTGAGGCACTGGCGAGGCATGTTGGGCATGCCAACCACTTGACAGGAGCGGCGGCGGCAGGGCGGCAGGGCGAGAGCGGCACCGGCAGGCCTTGCACGCGGCCTGCGCTCTGCCTCGGCACCTGCAGCTCGACGACGTCGAAGAAGCGAGACAGCACGGCGCGGCCGTTGGGGAAGTGCCTGCAAGCAAGACATCGGCGGCAGTGCCGAGCGCCTGGAAACACGGCGGGCGGATGGGGGCTCTAGCCCTAGCCCTGCGGGAGCTGCCACAGGCGCCACGCCACCCACTCCCATACCCCCACCTGCTCATGGTCTTGCGCTCGATGATGGTGCAGGCGTCGTGCATCAGGCTCTCGTCCCGCTCCAGGCCCCCCTGAGCCGCCCGCCGCCACCTGCACGCCACCTGGGCCGCGGTGCCCACCGACTTGAAAGAGATGTCGGGGTGCTGGTGGGGGGCGGGGCGGGCGGTGGGGGGCGTCGGGGGTGCCTTCAGGCCCAGCTGCAGGGGCAAAGCAGGCAGGTTGTAGCTCACTTGCAGCAACTCGTGGCCCTGAGTGGGCAGTCCAGAAGCTGCCTGCTGGTCAGTGCTGCTGGGAGCTCCTCTGCCTGCCCGCCCAGCCTCACCAGCTGCAGCGCCCTCTCCAGGGCTGCCCACAGGGGCGCCAGCAGGCAGAAGGACAGCAGCAGCTCCACCTTCTGCATCAGGTAGCGGCCGCGCATCCGGGCCTGAGGGGTTGGAGGGTGGGCGGGCAGGGGAAGGTGGCGTGAGGCACCCTCAGCTGCGCAGGCTGGTGCTAAGAACGCTGCCAGCCGCCCCCAAAGCGCTGCGCTGCCCAGCGCACCGGCTCGAAGCCGCGGCAGAAGATGAGGATGCGGTCTGACAGGTCGGGCAGCTGCTGGCGCTGCTCGCTGGCGTCGCCCCAGAAGCGCTGCAGCATGCGCTTGTCCAGGGCGCTCCAGTCAACAGACACGGGCAGGGTGAAGAGGAAGGCCTCCGCTTGTGCTGCCTGCGAGCAGTGGTGAGCGGGTTGGGGGATTCAAACATGCTGGAGTGAGCTGTGCCCTGCAGGCTCTGCGCTCGTCGCAACACATCGGGCGAACGCTGGGAAGGTGTGGCGCCTAACTGACATCCGCCCACCTCCCACTCGGCCTGCCCCAGCAGCCTGTAGTGGCTGGAGTGCATGGCCTGCATGAAGTCCAGCAGGAAGCGACGCTCGTGCGCCTCGATGCTGCTCAGCCGCCGCAGGCGGGGCGCCATGCCTTTGGGCTTGCCGGCAGAGGCGGCGCCCACGTGTGCGCCCCCCCTGCCGCTGAACAGCGCAAAGTCTGCCTCCAGCCTCCGCCTCTGGTTCAGGAACTCATGCTGGCACACGCCCTCCAGGAGCGAGTAGAGAGCGGCCAGGTGGGCGCCGCGCTCGCCCTCGCAGCCCAGCAGGCCTGCGGCAGCGACGCTGTGGTCGCGTCAGCGTGCAACGGGCAGCGGCGGCAGGCAAACCGCCCAAGGGCGTCGGCGCTGCTTTCTGGCGGGCCAAGTGCCCTCAACTAGGCCATAACCGGTGCAAGGCTCGCCTTGGAACGACTCCAGCAGCACGTCGTCAGAGAGCGAAAGAAACCTGTCGGGAGGCGCCAACACCCGCTCCCGGGTGACTTGAACCCCAGGGGGCGCGGGACCCGAGCCGGGGGCCTCCATTCGTGGGTCCGAGGCCCTGTCGGAGTGTGTGGCTTGACGGCAGGGCCTCAAAACGGATGCCCTGTACACGAATCGAGAAGAGACCAGGCAGATTCTGAATTGACTTAAAAGAGGGACTGCATGCAACATGCTGGGAATGGCGCTGCAATGCCGTACTCCGTGCGTACCGCTAAACAAGGTTGACTTTGTTTATGTTGACTTTTGTTTCTTAGCAACCAAGGACAAGATAACAACATGAACGCAGCCAACCTATCCGCAGAAGAGTGAAGCAACGCCACACCGCCCGATTCATGCCGAGCCATGCGTTCAATCGCGTGTTTGGTCGGCGGTCGGCGGCCACCTTCCTCCAAAACCTCTACTTTGGGATGTTCTGTTGGAGGTACTGGATGTAGTCGTAGCCGCCTGCAGCAGCGGGGCCAGGGCGGCGCGGCGTGGCAGCAGCGCTTGCCCAGCAGGCAGCCATGTCCAGGCGCACAAGAGCTCGACGCGCCGCGGGCCCTGCGCCCCCACCTGTGGTCCACTTGTCGTACGCCCGCAGCACCAGCCCCTTCATGTACGCCGCCGCCTGCGCGTCGCTGAGCTCCAGCTTGAACCGCGCCCGCAGGCTGTCCACGGGCTTGCCGTACCCAAAGCACGGCAGCTGCGGGGGCGGGGAGGGCAGGCAGCGCGCACCATGGTCGGCTTGTCAGCACAAGGCGCCGCGCCTGGCGCCGAGGGGCGGCGGCCCCAAGCAGCAGCCCCGCAGCCGTGCGGGCCCGCCCTGTCTTGCCCCGCGGGCACCTGGCTGGGCGCCATCATGGCCACCGTGGCCACCACCGACTCCGCCACGCTGCGGGCGGCCAGGAAGCCGCGGATGGCGAGCTCGCTGAAGCGGCGGAAGGTGGGTGAGTCGCGGGCGGCCCCCGGGTCCAGCAGCTGCGTCATCTCGTACGACAGCTTGAAGGGGGCCGTCTCAAAGCCCAGGTTGCCGCCTGCGCACAGG